ATCTTAATATATATAAATAACGTGTCACGTTGTTTGTCCGCTATGGACTCCTAAACTACCGAACCGATATCAATCACACACATTGCACACCGTGTGTAGTTTGATCCAACTTAAAAGATAGGATAGCTTACATCTTAATTTATACCCGCAATATTATTTTATTGCAAAATATTTGTTTATTATTTGATAGTCACAATAATTCTAACAGATGGCGCTGTGTTGAAAGTACCAACGTTTCACATAAGCTACAATTTAATGGCATAACCACCAAAAAAGCATGGTGGTCCCCATGACTGCTGTTCTCCTACCGTTTCCCTTGAATAGTTTGCTACTATATAATATAACAAAAACCTTAGCCACAGCAACGCTTGGCCGGTCTGCTAGTATTATATAGTTTTTACTCGATAATATTGCAGTTTCATATATAGGTAAACTAGCTGATGAGTAAAATGCTGTAAGGAGATGATAATGTACTGATGTTGATGATTGTATTATGAATGCATGATTTATATGTATTTTACTAATAAACCTTCGAAAGCGGTCGGGCGCTACACCATATAGAACAGTGAATATCATATTATAACAATATTTAAAAAAACTGTAATACGCGCGAATGTTTGAGACATCGGAGTTTAACAATTTTTAATAAACCCGTTCTTATCTGGTAGGAATGTATTTTGTAAAGAAGTAAGTGAATCTTAATACTACCACCTAAAGGTTCTTGCAAGCCTTTTAATATTACGACATTATTTACTTAAATAAAAGGGTAGAATGTATACGTGTTATAAAGGGGAAAAGATATAATAAATGCCTTATATTTTATGTGGCAACCAAGCAACTATTCAGCGTAAAAGAAACTATGCACTACAATGTAGTTTACGAGGATTGTAGATAATTAACGCCGAAGGGGTCTCTCAAAGATACAATAACGTCTACTAATTAAGTTTATGTTACGGCAGGCAGTATAAAAATTCTCCTATTTACCCTAGTTATGTAACCTAACATTAGTTAAGTTGCATATATATTTAAGTTAATATTTAAAAGCGTGAACAAAATTTAAACAATCATCGCACACTTGAAGCCAATATGAGCCCTTTAGTTTTTCCCACACTCATAAATTGTAATTTAACATTCTCGTTTTCGATAATGACCAATAACATAAGTGTCACTTAGATTTACGAACTCTTAAATAAGTCAAGTTAGTTTTTTGTTAATCCAGCGTCGCAGCGCCACTGCTCCTAATGTTATCTTAGTTATAAGCTCATGTTTTAAACAATATAAGCAAATATTTAAATTACTACAGACACAACGACTCACGTGCGTCCTAACATGTATGTGCAAGTATAAAATTAATTAGTTCCATTTAAACAATTCCGCCTCAAGAATATTAACAAAACAAACATAGAGAAACAGAAAGGTTTTGTTTGTATTATACATTGTTCACCGTAAAAATATAAAATATCCTAAGTATATCTAAAAGGACATTATCGGAAGCCTTAGCGAAAAAGTGTAAATCCGCCATCGATCGGGAGGCTTTACATTCCCGTCACGGACCATGCAGGCCTATTGCGCCGTTTCCATGGCAACGCGCTTCCGCCAAAACGCTACTTTAGAGTTAAGAAAGTTTAAGGTTCCGCATTAGCTTTAATGTCACAAGTTAAGCCTATACCCAGAGGGGTGATAAGGTGGATAAACAAAAGTCTTAAACCGGCGCATACTATAACATTGAATTGAGTAATTGAAACTTGTATCAATGTATAATTATTAGATTATTATAATCGTAAGTTAATAATAGTGTTATTTATTGGAACATGTTACATGTTATTAACAGTATATTGTTTGGCCCAACAGATAGAGTACATTATTAAGCTATTATTTAAAATAACTTTTCATTACCCGGAATTAAAAGAAGTTCAGTTACACATATAAAGTTTAGAACAATATAAAATTATGTTAAATAAAAAATATTCCCTGATTTAAGTTGTCTAACGTCTCTTATTAGCGTCGTCCGTAGGTGGGTATTTGTTACTTTAATTTCTGCTGTCTTCTCATGTTTTAATAAACTTAAATTACATATTATGTTCATAAACATATGGAATTTTCATGTTATATACATAGAGTACGGGCTCAGGTGGCACCGGAAGAGTTGGACTTCCCGTTAATCTAATAATAGCACAGGGATGATGGGGTGCTCCTGCGCAGGTCACTGACTCCGTTCGATCTATATTAAAATTAACTTTCTCGCGCATATATGTAATTCGGTATAGAGAAGGAAGAGAGATATTACGATATCGTATTAAAAACACAACAGCGAGTGAGCGAGCTTCACTATGTATAATACATTGATATCTATTGTCTTAAAGCTTTAGTTCAAAAATGTATTTTATGAATTAAAAAACATAATAAACGTCACCACTTACGAATGTAGTTTTAACTTAGTTGTTACACCTGCTTATAACTTCCCTACGAAGTGATGTGATAGTGTGCGTTCCTAATACTTACTCTTACCGTGAAGAAAAATGTCAAGCGATGCCATACGAAGAATATTATAGATGGTTGAACTACCTGAAAAATGATTAATGAAACTGTCGCACTAATATGTCTATCTCATGTGCCATTGCAGGCTAACGAGACTTCATACGAAGCCTGTCTAGTCGCGATGAAATTATTTATTAGTATGAAGGCCGTCGAGCCGAAGTACAATTACCTACTAAGCTAATTAGGTGTGAGTCATTAAATAGTTATTTACTGAAAGATGAAACAAAAATTAAACCAAAACTTCGTTAATTACTCTGTAAAGAGTCATTGATTAAAAAATTTGATCGTACAAAGGGTAAATTGAAGTGCTCTTACAGGTCTGAACCGCGCTATCAAAAGGACACTAAGGGGTTGTTCGTGCCAACCCTTCTTTAGACACAGGTTTTGCTGATGAAATACTCAACGCGATATAATACAAAGTACAGATATGAAAACCAGAGGCGCTACCATCCTAGGTCTTGCCTTCAGATTCCTGTATCTTTATTATTTTTGTCTTAACAAGCATGTAGGTGATCAGCTACCTGTTACTGACATACACTAGTCTAACATATGCCGGATTCCTTCACTGTACGAGTGAGTGTTAATTGCACACATGAACAGAAAAGTATATTGGTGCACTGCCGTGAATCGAACACACGGCCAGCATTTTATTTACAAATTACTTTAATTCATATATGTATTTGAAAAATATATAAAAATGTATAGGCAGTTTTTTTCTAGCATTACGAAGAAAAATAGAAAAGTATATAGTTCCAATTAATTCTTAATTTTGAGGTAAATTAAGAATTAATTTGAACTACATGTATACTAGTATTAAATTTATATATTTAAATGTTTACCCCTGTTGTCATCGTTTTATGGAGTTCCACATATCTGCACGTTGATGCACTAACTACGTATAAACACCACATTAATCTGCTTTAGTGATATAATATGTACTTAATTCTTTAGTATTCGCTAAATTATATCGGAATTATTCACATTTAAAGTAACTAAACAATAGACCCGATCTCTACAACCACTATAATATTATCGTATTCAATGACAGTTAATAATGATTTCACCATTTACAGTCCAATGTTTATATTAACAGCTGGTTTATGTAACGAACAAAACACCACCCTACAAACAAGTAATTCACAAGGAGACTGTATAGTGGATTGACTGAAACCAGGAATGGCAAGTTTTAATAAAGGGATATCATAGATTTATAAAGGCAAGCGCGACATCTGTAGCCTATTTTCGTCATTCTTGCTTTAAATCAGCTCTACCTAGCGTTGAGTAGTAACAATAAAAGAATTTAAAAGTGCGACATCTATATTACCATATATATCGGTCGTCAGAAGTATCTTTACTTTGAATTTAGCGTCATCTAAAGTCTTAAAGAATTATACGTGTATCAGCTATTATGTTGGTAATAGTTTAAAGTTGTCATATTCGTAATATGCTCATAGCAATAAAATAAATTTATTTAAACTTAAGAAGTACCTAAAATTCCTATTTTTATAATAGAAATAATATAACTTGAAACGAATGTATAAATAACATATGAATTATTTATTATTTTTCTCTTTGAACGATATGGTGTTCGCTCTAAGTGATATACCTATTGTCCGTAAACATTGCATATTATTTTTATCACTTAAAATTCGTCAGGTATTAAAATGCTATCGAACACTTCCAAATCTGCGTCACCATACAAATCGTGGAAGCTGCGTCACCATACAGCTAAAAAAGCTGTGCATTCTGATGCATTTTTGTGTTTGTACATTAACGCTTTGATCATCCGCTGTAGTCGCCTTGTGACAGCATATTTTCCGAATAGAAAAATAAGCCAATAGATGGCACTGACACTAAAAACTGTAATTGTTATTGGGCTATCTGTGTAATCATCTAATTTTTTATCAGACTGGAAATTATCGTACAATCTGCGTACGATAGTCATGTACCATCGTACATCGTACGTAGTTATGAAATTATCGCACATGTACGATAATTATCGTACGGTTGTGAACGCTGCTGGGCAGTAATGCCAACTTACAGAAACTAGAAAGACCATAAAGGTAAAATAACTTTGATCGGATATAGTCCGATCAAAGTTGACGCGACATCTATGAATGGTGTAACTATTTATCAACTGATTTTAGCGTTACCTGGCGTTGATAAATATAAGGCAAATGCCATTACTTTGTTAATAGTTTTAATTCCCTATACTAGATGTCAGGAATACTTTCAAGAATACTGAATTATTATCTATAGATACTTATGCAGAATATATTAGTGGCGTCGAACGTGAAATGAATCGAAATATCTTCCTAATCTGTGAAATTAAAAAAAAATATAAATAGTTTCTTTTAAGAATTTAAATTAAGTTGATTTTTTAAAAAAACATTAATTTTCATCACAAATTAAAATTTATATATACATATAAAATTAAAAATATAAATTGATATATACCGAAAATGGTAAAAGTTTGGAGATTGGGTTTAATGAGCTATGATACCGCTTTTAAAATACAAACGGCTATAGCTAGAAAACATTTAGATTCCATGATAAAAGGAATGGATGCTAATTACGATACCTTACTCCTTGTGGAACATAAACCAGTTTACACAGTTGGTAAGTGATAGGCGGTTTTAAATAAAATTTATATTATCAAAGCTTAAGTAAAAAAAATATTGAGTATTTAATAGAGGCATCCAAAGAGGCATCACCATATTATGTGTCAAATATTATCGTGTAAATAATAAATAGGCATAAGTTAAACTATATACTCATTACATAAGTAATATACTTACGTACATGAGTATGAGGATGTACAATTTTTCTTATGATAGGAAGTCTCATAAAATTTTGAGATACAAATATTATGTAATTATGATACAGAAGACTCTATATCATATTTTATTTTAAAGACAAAGGCTTCTTCAATTATAGTTTACATTTAGATTAATAATTTGTTATTTCAGGTATAAGAGATGATACATCAAATGATGAAATAAACAGGCTAAAAGATTTAGGTGCAGAATTTCGTAAAACAAATCGTGGAGGTCTTATAACATTTCATGGTCCTGGACAGCTAGTTGCATATCCTATAATAAATTTAAAACACTATAAAACTAGTGTTAAGTGGTATGTGCATAATTTGGAACAGACAATTATCAACTTATGTGATGAATTAGGTAAAATAATAATTATTTCTTAAATAATTTAAGACAAACATGAACTAACATGTGTTTACCAAAGGTTTTAAAGTCTTTTCCACTACTAAAGCTTTCAGGGGAGAGATCAACCCATTCCATTATATACTATCAAAAGAGCTGGATTGGCCAAACTATTAAAATTAATAATATAAGTTTAATATCATGTCTTAATATTTCTAAGTAAACTTTGGAGTTATAACAGTCTCCTTTGCATTGAGTATTGGTACTCTGGGACCTTTGTTCAATGCCGCAATAGACTCACATGGATGTATTGGATATTATTTATTTTAAATAAAATATCTTTACAGTATTTAAAATAAAATATGAAGATACCTCATTTTATGTTTTCTCTACTATTTTTCAAAGACTCAATATTTCAGGAGTTAAAGCAAGCCGGTCTCCACACACTGGAGTATGGATTGAAGACAACAAAGTGGCCGCTATTGGCATCCACGCATCCAGATATGTAACTAGTCATGGTATCTCACTAAACTGTGATAATGACTTGTCCTGGTTTGAACACATTGTGCCCTGTGGCATTGAATACAAGGGTGTCACTTCTCTTACCAATGAAACTGGGCTCAAATGTTCCATAGAGACAATAACTCCACTATTTTTAAAGCACTTTGAAAAAGTTTTTGAGTGCAAAATAGAAGATGTTCCTAGTAATTACCAAGAAGATATTTTAAGTAATATTTATAGCAACCTATTGACTTCAACTTCTTAAGTAAGTTTTTTAGGCCAAATTGAAATTTTATAATTTATTGCTGTTTATTGCTGTTGTTACAATGTGATGAAATAAAAAAAAATAAAAAATTTGTACAAATTTTATTTATTAAATAGGACAAAATAAATAGTGTATAAGTAAATGCAAGTATTTCTAAATAAATAGAAGAAATCTCAAGTTGGGTTAAGAGAAATAGAAAAGTGAATTGTGATCCTTTCATTTCTGCAAAACCCAACTGAAAGTTCATCAAGGCAAAGTTACTGATTATAATAGAACTTAGCGCCATCTATTGGCATTATATTTACAATACCTAATTAATTCTAAATATTATGTACTTTTGTATAAAAAGCTTAAGAATACTTTAATCCTTTTATATTGGTCACAAAATTCTTTGCGCAACATCTTGAAATGATCCAATTACTATCAAAATATTCCCATCAAATTATAAGTCATTTTAATTAGGCATATGAATAAATTTTCTGGGAACATTCCGAAACTCGTTGACTTTTTAATCTACCTTATTATTAATAAATGCACATTCTGAAAAATGTAAACTAAAAATTATGATTACGTATTTCAGAGGGTTTTGTACCTACTATAGAATCTTAAAATAATAAATGCTTATTAAATGCTTGAGTTAGTTTACGCAATGCGGTGGTTAAAAACGCATCGTAGCAACTTAGACTACAAATTATGGACGGATATGACATTCATGTTTTGCTATCAGTCGTTTTATCACACGATCGTCATTTGTTAAATCTCATGGCCCTAGACAAAAACCTACTTATGCAGACGTTCTGCTGTAAAAGTATCGAAAAGCATAATGTTCGTATTACAAAGGAACTAAAAATATTCACTTGACAAAAACTTCATACTTGTGTATGTTTTGACAGACCTTGAGAGAACTTTACGTATACAGTATGGCTTTGATGCTTTTCACGTGACAATTTCACAATTTTTGTCCACAGCTACTCCCGAAAACAATAAGAAGATCGTGTCTTAGGGACTTAAATGTTGATTAAAATACATTTTACAAATGCTTGGGAGGAGCGAGCCATTTACGCATGTAGTAGCAGAAGATTGTTGCGATGTAGAGAAGAACCAGTAACGCACAGGCTACTCCTAGCAGAAGAACTGATCCTTTACTGGGGCACGGCTCCACAATGGTCACAGTTTTTTCTGGAAAAAATATCAATTCCATTATGTGTGAGGTTTTATAAACATTTTCTAAAATATAAATAGAAAATCGCTTCACTTGACTAAGATTTACTCAAGTATTTTTGTATATTATTATTAGTTTAAACCTAAAGGTAATTAATTACTTTAGGACTAATATGTCAAATTATGTATATTAATTAAACAATAAATTTCTAAATATAAAAAAAATAGAAATTTATAATGCGAACCTCCAAAGTTAGCCTCTGACGCAACACCACCTGGTTTATCAGAGCGTAGGAAGTCAGTGCTCTGCCTCTCATCGCCGAAATCAAGGACGAGAATCTCTTGGGAGATGTTCATATCTTCTTCCTGAGTACCCGCTTCATCTGTCTCATTGACGGGCAACGAACGTCTCTTTCTGCCCCATGATTCGATAGATTCTCTTCCCCACTCGCACACCGCCTAAAATAGTAATATAAACGTTAGTGCATATCAATTCTTAATGTACTTTACGACGTTGTTTTTAATACATAAAAATATATTTATTTTCTGTCAATTCAAAACATAAATATTGCCTTTTCTAAGAAAAAGCGTACAATGGAAAAGTACAAAGAGATTATACTTACAGGTTCGCAAGGACCAAGACAGTATTTGACGTTACATTGGAAAATAACTCCATAAGATTCCGTAAACCTGAAGGCCTCGTACTCTGATTGAAGGGCATTACCGTCGGGAATGAATGCTGGGAAGATTGATGGGTCCACGGGACATCTAAAAGAAATCAGTTCATTCTTATAGTTTAAATTTTTGTTTCGTTGTAAATAATTTTGGTTGTCGTTGGGTATACAGTTTTAATGGGAGGACGATAATCTTCGCACTTGTATAATTGTTATTAATATCTGTGTAAGATTATACCAGTAGGCTGCTAGTATTTAAGTTTAATTTACAATAAAATGTATTCTTATTACAATGCTGAGTTAAGTGAGACCAGTGATGGCCTTTTTTTATATTCAGCGTGTGACTCCCATCCCTGAGGTCTTAGAACGAATCCCGGCTGTCCACAAGGGTCTTTCTGTCTATTTCAAAGGCGTGTATCAGTGAAAGAAAGCTGATCACCTTGCCTATTAGAAAAACCTAATGATTACGAAACAGATACCGAAATCTAAGGCCCACCAGGCCTTAAAATGTGTTTTGTGTTTCTATTAGAAGTTCAGACTGAGTAGAATACATTGATGTCAAATTATGGCTATCCGGAACTTCATCTGCATATAATTAGAGTTTAATTTAAATTGTCTGACCTCGGGGCGATGAGCCCCGAGGTTGATTGCTCATCACCAAGATCCGTCATTGTAGAAAGGTGTCCAGTAGACTTTTTTTAGTTTTAATAATAAGTTAATTCAAGAAAGATATAAAAACATAATACTGTCATACCCCTTTTCATCAATGATTTGGAAGGTGCTCTTGGAATCTTTTGCCATTGCGACACAGCTACGCGCAAAAATGCCGTAAGGAGCTGAAAAAATATTTAGTTTAAAGTTTCAACCACACTCAAAAAGTACTATAAATAAATCTTCTGGCAAATTACATAAACTTATGTTTAAGTATGAATAATATAATCGTTTTGCATGATTCACCAAATTAAGCACCTTACACAATAAAGTAAAAAATGCTATAATGTTATTAATCTATTACAAATTTTGAAACCTTAAAAAATTTACTCATGACGCATTGTGAACCACGTTTTGGTTTTGTCAATTATTAAAGTGCATACATATTCTAACGTTAACTGTGTAACAAAAAATCTTTAAATACACTTACTATCTCCTGGGATTTCGATGCGGAAGGTAAGCCTGTCTCCAATGCGTACAGTTTCCACCTCGCGTTGGCGACCGTCCAAGATACGTATGCGTGGTGGAGGTGCTTCAGGTGCGGCAGTGATTGAGATCATTTCTGGGTCCCTGTAGGAGGTTCAACGAATATGTTAGAAGAAATAGACATTATTCTATTACAAGTAAAAAATAGATAAATTTTATTCTGGATAAAAATTTAGTAATTCTTTCTAAGTTTAGAAACGTAATGCGATCGTATGGCGACATGGCAATTTCGACACACGATGTCCAAAAAGAGATAACACATAGAATTAATGAAAACGCCCAAAAAATAAACACACACAAATACAATTTTCAATGATGTTATATGCTCTATACGCCTTTGTGGATCAGTGGTAAATTACCAACCAACCAATGAAACTTTGTATATAGGTATTAACCTAAAGTTTGAAGCATAATTAATGTATACAGTAGAACCTCAATTAAGATAAAAAAGGGAATGAATTTATATTATGTTTATGATTTTAAGTAGCGAGGTTCGAGGTCGGGTAAAGGCTAAACAGCCGTTTGTACATGTTTCTCTATCCCTTCATACCAGCATTGAATGCTCAGAAGTGGCAATTAAATTTTAGATCATGATGTAGGTTCTCATATAATTACAGCACATAAAAATAAAACAACCACTCTGGTACTTAGCCCCTACTTACATAAAGAACGTGATTTTCTTTGGTTGTTAAACATGTATTTATAATCCATTTATGCCATGCTCGGAGAATTGTTTCCTTAAAAGATGAAGTTCGTAGTCACATCGTGACCACCGCAAAGCTTTGAAGTATTTATGAGTCAAAAGCAAACAATGGCTAACGTACTTATACGTTAAGAAGGCATGTAGAGGCACATGTAAGCAATAAATACCTAAACCATATGTATTTGAAAAACTAAAAAATGCTCATTCAGAAACATGAATTTGATGCACAATCCTTACAGAGACTTTACGTTAGATTTTTTACGTTAAAAGGTTGCGTATTCTAAGTTATAGAGCATTTGGGCCTCTATGGGAGGGACATCTTTATTTTAAGTAAAAGGAGAGTTTTAATGTTACTAGAAGTTTACGTTATCGAGGTGTTCATTTGGAAAAATTGAGGCTATCTTATGTTTACTTTCTAGTGCGAAGTGAGGGCTGTATATATGAAAACTTAATAAATTTTATGCTGCAAACCAGCAATATGGTAGCAAAAATGTTTAGATCATGAGTAGGCTACCATCTTAAGCGATGCATCACTTCTGCTACTTCCTATTACATTACGAAGTGACAATGGCGCGCAAATTTGTCTTTAGCTGCATAGAATTGTTTTTTACAGATGAGTTCAGTAACATTACAATTATTTATATGTCAAATATGGCCAGGTCTTATAGTTAATGTAATGTACAAGTATCATATGTATATTAAATTAATAAAGTGTCTGACGCAAATAATCATTTTTATAAAACGTTTTTTTTGCCTTATAGTAATACTTTTCCAAGTCTTTTTTTGAAAGACTCTAGTCTATTATCACTTGATTGTTGAGTCATGATTATGAATTCATTCAAGTTTCCTAAGAAACTGACCACGGCCACCAAATACGGACAGTCGAGTGGAATGTCCTTGAATATTTCTCAGATTATCAAATAAGTAAAGTCACCTATATAAGTAACGGTTTACAAACGAGTTTTCTAGGGGCATAACGGAAAATAATATGAACGGCGAAAGTGCGATAATTTTCCATATTAAGGTTTCAAGAACAGTTACTCACCGTATGGGCACCATTCCGAAGGTGATGTTCTTTGAAGTCATGTCGTACGTACACTTCACCCTGTATATCTTGTCAGCTTTCGTCATAACTACGCTGTGATGTTGAAGAACTACAGTGTTTGAGTACACTCCAGTCTGAAATCATATATTTTAGTAATTAGACATTTGAAAAGCCCAAAGTTTATTCAGGCAATAGATAGGTCTACATAATACATATATGTATTATTAGAATACAATTGTAACGTTATGCAGCTTAGTAGATAACCTGTCAATTAGCTTAGATAATAATCATTCTCATTCGTTAACTATATATTCAGTATGTATCATTGAAATAGAAACATAATAAATCTCCCATGGCATGTCCTGTGAAATGTCTATTTTTTTATGCCATTACACAATTTCAGGTATTTTAATTAAAAACAAATGTTATTTAAAAACAGAATAGACATAAAATAGATATTAAGACACTTTAAAAGGTGTTTTAACATAAACAAAAGACTAATAGTTCCGTTACAAGTCAAGTATTCTGACCTCTCAAACCCATGAATGATTAACCATTTATCTATTTCACTTTGCCGAGCCCATGAAAACAAAGCTGTTTATATACCAGTGGTGACCTATAACATAATGTCACATTGGATTATTACGATAGAATAACATAATAGACCTCGGAGGAATCAACCAAGAGCTAACAGGTTTTAGCTCGCACAAACGTAGAAACTTAATTGGTAACATTATACATCTGGTACATCTTCAAAAACTATTTTTCTATTGTCTTTGATTAACATAGATTTAAACTCACCTGAGCAAACGAAAGACGTCGAAAATTTAAAATTATGTTAAATAGCTTGTAAATTTATAATAATTCATTACTTCCTTCCCCCCCCCATGTGTTTTAATTTGTGTGTTACAATCCTGTCCGGCCATTGTCAGGTCTAGTTTGAACTGGTCGCTATTAACAACATCAATGTTGCAAGTCTCGGATCTGCCTAGGGCGTATATTCTGCCATTGAAGGGTTTGTTCGTGCGAATTTGCACGGCAATGCGAGTATCCTTACAAAGGACCGACACTGAAAAAGGTAGACAGGTTTCGTGCATAGAATGTTTTAACGGGCCTTTGTTTGCTTGTATATTAATCTTGGCATTTAAATCAACTCACAGAAATAAGGAGTAATTGTTTAACCAACTAACCAATGTTCTTTCTTATGATCGAATAGGAAATAAGTTATAAAAAAAACCATGATATTTCTTAATACAAAATACGACTTGCAAGTAGTCATTAGAATTTATTCATTTGTATTAATTAGGTTTTTAGTGTTAAAAACATTTATTTAACTCTTACCGTCATAACATGTGCCGGTTTTGTCGCAATTAGCGTCGTTGCGAGTCAAGTTGCTAGCCATGTTGAGGTCCTGCTGGTGTTCGATTGTTACTGGTAGCTCTCCACTTGGGTTAGAATTTGCAGATGGTTCTACATAAAACAATAACATGTTAGTTAGTTACTAGACAACCTAAGGTTCTTAACAAAAATAAAAAATAAACAACTTTCAGTAATTATATCGGTATTTACTGTTGATAGGACCGTATAACAATTTGACTATGTATTCTGAATCTCAATATTTATTACAATATTAAACTACTTATACTAGTAATAAAAGTGACTAGTAGGTAACGGCGTGAACCAATTAGGTATCGAGATAAGGAGATATTATTTAGTTACAGATATATCTTTAGAATCGATAGAAAATTGCGTCTACATTACTAAGTATAACGTGGGTACTGTAATTATGTAGAGACGGGTAAAGCTCGTATCGAGAAACTTTATTTTCACACGATGTGTATATCTTACGTTGGTTGTAGGTTAATACCTGGTGATTATTAACATATGAAATTGTGATTTTCTGATGTCATTACGGTATAATCATGTAGGCTATGGTTTTGTCGTGATTTAGCTATAAACGTTCACGTACTAATATCATTTCTTAGATAGTATTTACGTCTAATATCTTGGAATTTCTACGTGATGCACAGATCAGCCATTAGCTGGCAGATAATTGATATATGTGGCAAAAAATTACATGTTTCTCATTTGAGCATATGAAATTGTTAATAGTTTTAAAAGTTGAAGATTTCTACCCACGACTGCATTGACTAAAACCACGAACCTACTTAAGCGGTTAAAGGAATATCGGAGATCTATTATAACTGTAAAACAAACTAGAACATTTCCGCAGTAAACATTAATTCGTGTCATTGTTTGTGCAACAATGTTACGGGATTGCTGTTGGAAAACCGTAAATTCCAAGGGTGCTTATAGCAAGTCAGGGACCGTGACGTACCTACGTATAAGTTTATGTCATGACTGAGAAATGTCGCCTTACGGTCTTTGACTCGAGTTTACTTTTTAATCGTAAGTATCTCTCTCAGTAGGTGCTGTAGGTGAAAAGCGAACCTTCCTCAAATTCCGTAACGCTAAATAAAAGTTACGCATAGTTAACAAAAATTATATAACTGCATTAAACAGTGTGTTTCTTTAAATGAATGGGTTTTGTATGTCGGAGAAAAATTATAGAGTGTAATGCTGAAAACAGGGCATTTCTTCAGAATGGGACCCTCAACTGACCGTAGGTGTACTGAAGGGTATTTTTATTCATTTACATAATATGATTGACACGTCTGCCCAAGCCACTCATTATCGTTAGTAATCGTCACTTAAAGATATCCCCAGCATACAATACTAGGCAATACTAACACAATTCCAAGCAAGTAATCTTTACATTGTAACAGGCCTTAAAATAAATTAAATATTTAAAAATAATTATTATTTGACTTAATAATAATCATATAAATTATAATATTGCAGAAAATATGAACTTCGGAGTCGTTGAACTTACTTCTAAACGCTTCAGTAACTTACGTGAATTTTCCCACGCTTTAGTCTAACTGAAATATTTCTACTTTGATGAGGAAATTTTTATATATACTATGTGACTTTTAGATTCATATGAAACTTGATCTTTTTGCTCGCACATAATTTTGTACCTAATTTGAGATAAAAAATCTGAGTTCCCGTCCTTAAGGACGCTGTAACACTACTCTATCTCCTTGGCTTAGTGGTTTACGCTTTGCGCAAATCTGGTTTTCCAGCGAACGCTTCAGGTTGTTAACGCAGAAGACTGATCTTATTTGGGACATGGTTTAACGGGACGTGAAATATTATGATGTTAAAACTACTATGTTTATATCAAAACAAATATATTATTATTAAAATTCAAATGGAAAAACTATAATTGACCTTGGTGCCATCATTACATCGAATTTAGTCCTGTCCTCAGAAAAAGGCTAATGGTGAGTTATTGAGGTTTGCAATTTGCGGTATGAGAAATCGTTTCCAAGAACTGCAATGGGAAAAAGCTAGTCACGATTCGTGTTCAGACACTCTTTTATAAATAACATAGATACATACATACTTCGCTTTTTTTATTAAATTACGCTGAACTAAGTTACGACTCAACGCGCGAGTTTAATCCAATCAATGGTTGCATTTTTCCAGCGGCTAATTAGATCGATATTTCAAAAATAAAATTATGTAGACAGCATTACGATTTAGTGCAAAACTGCTTTACTGTGTAACTGTGTGTTTGTTATGATTTTATTTGTATAATAAATGCACATTTCTGATTCTTTTCTTCATAAAAAGTTTCCGTAAATTACGTTGTAAATTAACAAATAGATCCAGCTAGAACTCGTACATCACTTGACTGATCTTGATGATAGAGGCTTATATTTTGAGGTGTCAAATGACACGTAATTTTAGTCATATTTTATAAAGATGACGCTTCTAGTAATATTACAGGTACCGATTATTTAAACTAGTCAATATTTTACATCACAATGTAATAGCTCGTGGAATAATCACATCAGACTTTTTATTCTTGATCACAAACCAAACAATATTTTGCGCTTCCAAAGTAGGTTATCTTTTATGGACCGTTTCAGAAAAGTATATTTTTTAGAGAAACTCATGTTTCCGTTATGTTTCTCGTTTTATGGTGTTAAATCTACAGTTTAAAAATAAATCGTGAGTATTCATGACGATAAAAGCTTTCATGTTAATATATTTATAGTAGACTTTTAATAGTTTCAAAGACTGGTTTAAAATCGGCATATTGGCGTATTGGCTCCTTGGGCGTATTTAGAACTAAACGGAAGCACGTACCTACAAACATTGCTCGCGCAATTAAATTAATAATACCATAATACCATCCCAATTTTACATACATCTATGCACTCAACCTGTATTGTATGAAGGTTTCGTATACGTGGAAAACTATTTTACATTTGGTGTAAGTATTAACAGTTGTCTTAATTGTCCAGGAAAACTGATGTTGAGTAAAAATTACCTATTACTTAACGATAATAACGGTTGGTCTCCTATTGAAATATGTAGTTGTGCTTCTAAGCAAATATATAAGATTATTTACCGCTACGTATTTAAATAAACGGGTAAACTACTATTTATTACTGTACGGATTTGCATTTCAATCATGAAATAGATATTAATCAACTCTGATTCCATAGTAGTTAATACGAAACTGTAAGTTGGCACGTGTGCGCAATAAAACTATTGAATTAGGTTAATCAAAAAACAATTAGGCGTGCTTATTTTTAATTGTTTTGTATTTGTTAATTGTCGGAGAATCAATAGGAGAATTTTTAATATTTATGAACTGTAAACACAAAAATAACGGAATTTTCATAAAAAAATAATAGACAAAAACTAAAACAAGGAACAATAACAAAACTGAAATGAATTTACTTTATGCGTTTAAATTAATTTCTTATGAATAACCATACAAATTTTATTTAACTACAATAAAATAGATCTACTGAGTCTATAACAAATATATCAGAAATTTGTGAGAATTTATAATGTACGCAAAATGTCTAGATTGATTTTGGTTTTCATTTGTCAAGGATTTCTATCAAAATATTTCAACCCGGCGCATTATCTATGCTCGCGATACTTAAAACTGGTTAGGCGTCTGAGACTGCGGCCATCGCCCTTACTGGGCAAGGCCACGCAAGGTTATTAAATTCTTTACCGCATCAACACAAACTATTATTAATTTAGCAATGCGTGTGATAGCACAATAACCGCAAACCGGTTTTGTGTAAATAACTTTCACGTAACAGTTAAAAATAGTTATTAAGATGTTTAATAAGCTAATTTCCGTACAAATTCTGTTGTTTGGATATGTTGCTTTAATTTATTGGTATCTTTAAGATCCTTGGGCCCTAGACAAATTCTTTCGCGTGTAAGGTGACCCGCCGTGTGTGTATTTATGCTTGTGACGATAGATTTCAATTTGTATGTCGTTCGTCTAGGGCACCTAAGAATCTAAAAAAGGTTTTTAAGAGTCGGTATATTTTTTGTACACATCCGGTTAGAAGTCACATCATACGTTTAATGTGCAAAAAGTTCTGTAATAGCTACATGTTAAGATTCAATTACTTTGAAATAGTCGAGAACTAAGCCTCTTCAAGAAAAACTTTTCAATTTCATGAACCGCCACCGTTATAAATCACGCACGAGCGCGCGGCCACCGTCGTTGATCGTTTTTTGTTTTTTTTGCACCAAATGCAACTGTTGCCATGACTCAGCAAAATGACATTATAAACATAACGAAGTTATGTCTACGTGTGCCGGAACGGGATGTTTCTATTCAACTCTAATTCGATCAATTTGCAATCGCCAGTTCGATTACGTCCAACGGGCATTGATTACTAATATTAGATAATCTAGCATGTTATTGCAATTACGTTTCTCATTACGTGGAAATTCAAGGGATTGACTGTAACGGTATGCGTTGGTGAACATTCAGTTTACAAATCGGGTCGCTGCTGCGAGATGGCAATCGCCAAGCCTACGTAATGGAGTAGCTATTCAGGCTTGTGTATAGCGGCACTAGCTTGTTACATTTGAATAACGTGTATTAAACTGGAATTCCTTAATACGCTAGAATTATGGTGATTCATCGGTAGACCCTCCCTTTTGTAATAATTAAGGATTGAATTGCTTAAGAACTTAACTTAACCTTAATCCGACTCTCGACTTGACCTGGCCATTCGCAATCAGAGAAACAAACTCTATGACTTCTTAGACTTTAGCGTATTATATTAGCGCATCTTAATTATTTCTTGTTGTTTTTAACAAAAACATTTTTTGTAATTAAAACAAAAACAAACGCAAAACTAAAAAATATGATATATGGAATCATGCAGTATCAAACATCCTCTATGATAAAATTTATTGTAACACAGACAATCCCACATCACATATAAAAAAAGACTACAATGTTGCAATAACAGAAAATTCTCACAGAAGGTGAGAAGTGCTGTATCTGCAAGGTTTAACAATCAACTTCCGTTATTATTGCGGTGAAATTGCATAATTAGGATTAACATATTTCACACTCATTAATACACCGAATGTCATTTGTAAGGCTTAACGGTATTTTTAATTTTAATGTAAATAAGCCGACCGTTACAATTTCAATAAAACTGCATAGGCGGTAAATGAGATTGAAAAAAGAAATTGATTTCGTTCGCTGTAGAGGCGAATGAACCGCTGTTTAAATTCGGCGTCTGCTAACTGCAAATAAATAGGAAAATTAACTTCTGGTTTATATGACAGACGATAAGATTTTTCGTATCAAGATCGCAGAAAATTTACATTAATAAATTTTAAAGTATTCCAATTATTTGGCAAGAGTGATGAAGTGTTTTTTCAGACTTTAACAATAAAATTCAACGCCGACAAATTATATGTCAACTTTATAATCAAATGTACACCGAAACAACGACACGTTTATTCTTGAAATACAAAAAATACTTAGCTACTGGCATTTTAATGTAGGTTTATGAATGATTAAAATTAATGTTGCGACGGTTGCAAAATAAAGTTAAATGTCCTTCCGTTCCTCCGTTATTACTGTCACGTTAGAAGAAACGTCCGGGCTGTCCGTGTTGAAAATATTAATCGACAATTATTAGTCCTCATATACAAGAAATTTATTACACATGAATATGTCTGACATTAATTGGTATTGAATACATTACTTCTTTTAAACTGAATATATTTTAGGCATGACTTAACCCTTCTATTCAATTTGTTTTGATATATGATAACTTTAGAACATATTTCTAGACTATGGACGCACAAAAATGTAAAAATAAAACCTTATATGCCGATAAAACACTATTTGATAATAGTTTGTAAAGCAATTAATGAGGTAAGCTTTTAAGTGTGCCTACTTTTTATACTAAAGCCACTTTGCTGACTTTATTACTGAATAATATCAGCATTAATTCGCAATAAATCTATTTCTTAAACGTGTTTGCATTGCGCCAGCGCATGGCAATTTATGGGATGAAGCAAGGTAACACTTACAGCTTAATATACTTATTACGGGTTTCTGTAGACGTCGTAGTAATTGCCAACAACTATAAAGATATTATTTTTTTTTAAATTTAAATTGAAAAACTGCGTTGTCTGCATTTGAATGAGTAACCTACCTACCTCTTTCTTGTGGTTCATTTGTTACGCGATTATTTTAATGAGTTAAGCTTAGCCTATGCGGCTAATGTCTCAAGGAATATAGTATTATATTTCTTATAGTTGAAAAACAAGTTTCAGTCATAGACAGAAAATCAAAATAAACATTATTTTCGCTTAATAAAACACTATTTTGACCGGATTGAAGTTATGTATTATTATAAATTTACAACTATTTAACATAATTTTAAATTTATCCGACGTTTCGCGTGCTTTACAGCGTGCGTGGTCACGGTGACCGTAAATAGTTGTAAATTTATAATAATACATAACTTCAATCCGGTCAAAATAGTGTTTTATTAAATGAATAAAAGTTATGTTAATCAAAGACAATACTATTATTTTCGCTTTCTTGTTCCATACGAAATCGTTTTGAACAATAAGTTCTGTCTAATAGGAAGCGAAAATTAGACTAAAATCAATAGTATTCTACAAATAGTAGGTACTCACTCTCACAGAAGTTTTCAAAGTATTTTCCGATCGGTTCGCCATCATCAATAAGTGGTCTTTCTGCGTTGAGGTAGGCTGATGGTCCATCAGGCAGAGTATGGTGATCCAAATGATATAATCTACAGTTGTATGTTGACGAATGGGGTGCTCCAAGGTATAGGAAAGATCTGCATAGGAATTCCGACTCTATTTCACAAGCCAGACGGCACGCAGACTCTGATGTTACCTGTCAAAGTAAATGGGATGTAATCTAATTGTCCTTTATTTTACAATTCATAATGTATCCGCTATGTTTAGAATTGAAAAATCTCTTATTACAAAACCTATACAAATTTTATATTACAGTTATGCGTTTAAAAAATGTGATTTCATTAAAAAAAATAGTTATTATAAAACTTTTTGACATTATGCTTAATAATAGATTCCATAGAGACTACTTTAAATTTGATTACGATTATGGCAACCAAATAAAATTAACATTCATTTTTAATTATGTTTATAAGACCTAAATGAAAAAATCGTTAAACATTCCATATAAATATAAAACATATCATCCTTTATCTATTTTACTCCGAAATCAATTATCCGTATATATTAAATTTAAAATAGCTACAACAAAGATTATTCAAAACAAAAAAACTTGTATTACTGTGAGCCAACAAATAATAAAATTCCTTCGTCCCTAGACTCAATGCAATAAAAGTTTAATTAAGAACTGTCATCTTTTCTTTGTTTCATATTGTATTTACTTTGAGAGACCATCAAGACATTCATAATCATTTCTTCGAGTTGAAAAAGCTAAAAATAACTGTTACTTTTGTAACGAAAACCGCAGACCTTATAAATAGCATAACATTGATTAATTATAATTAGCATGCCTATTTCATTCAAATGAATCTGCTAATTGGCAATAAATGACTTTATTGGCTCATAAAATGGGAGTTATGATTTGAGATGTGCTCTTCCATTTGCAGCTTCATTTAAGTTAAACGCGGAAGTGGGTTCGAATCAAGCCAAGCAATAAAACTTAAGGTTTTGAGAGCCGAGAAGGAGATGATTTGATACATTATTATTTTAAAATATAAAAATAATAAGATACTATGATTTCTAATAATTGCCTAGAATATTGCCGTGTAATTTATATGTAACTTTTCAATACTCGTAGCGCATATCGAAATCATAATTGAAATCGAGATTACTATTTTTACAGGGTAAGCATACTGGAAGCGCATGTCCTGTGCAGATGAATACACAGTGCGGATAGTCATGCACTTCCAAATAATACTAAATCCCAAGACAAAATACGCAAAAACCAAATGCAGAAAACTATACCCTACTAAATGGCACCAATTTAAAAGCGAATAAGTTTATATGGAAATATTAAGATTTATATTTATTTCTAAGAATTTATACGTAGATACCTGCAGTTCCTTGTCGGTGTAATAATGCAGTCCAGCATATTGGGAGACTTTATCTTCAGCTACTCCCACACGAGGTGCTGTGAACACTCGAGGGCCCTTGCATGCTTGTGTCGCCTTCAGACATAAGTTCTGCACGACAAAACACCCAGGTTAAAAGCTTACAAGTACACTCAGCAGATTGTAGGAAATATTAATCTTTGTGTAATGTTGAAATTAAATACAAAAAACGAAGGGACAATCTCACATTTATATACTTCAAGATTAAGATAAAATGCATTTATTATTATAATATGAAAACCTGACAATAAATCGATATGTTACTTACTAATATATATTTGTGTTTGTTGTAAGAAATAAACAAATGGTTCACACGGTAGCAAAATATATAAGAACTTTTCCAATTTAACCTCTTTAAAGATTGAAAATGAGCTATGTTATTCGCTATATCGCTTAACGATGCTAATTTAAACCATTCTCAGAATTCAATTTAGCATGGAATTCAACCGTTAAGTTTGCTGTAAATTGTGAAATGTATCAGATACACCGTGGAAATTGTTAGCTTATAAGAACAAAAACAATTTAACCTTTCTACAGTTTTTTTTTCTTTTATGGGAATTTAATAAAAATCAAAATTTGTTAAAGATTTTTGTAAAAAAAACATTACTATTAGACCTTACCTCAAAGTAATCAGTTCCTGGAGTATCAACAAGTTGTACAAAGTGTTGTCCGGTTCGTCTATCTGAATCACTAAGAGAGCATCTCATACCTCCATATTCGTACTCCACTGATCTACACGGAAACTTTTTCTGAAGAAAAAAGATAATTTATTTAATTAGACATCATCGGTACCTAATTTAAAAGCTAAGTGCAAAGGGCCATCTTATCACTTATAAGCGATAATTTCGAGGCAACACGTGCTAGTAACAAGAAAAGTGTATTAACCGTAATATTTTTTTAGAAAAATGTAAGAAATGATATCATCATTATATCTAAAGACATACACAACCAAACCATGAACAAAAATAACCAAATTAAATTGTAACTATACGTATTTTTTAATAACCGGTGTTATTTGTTTTCCAATTCCAAATTTAAACGAGAAATATCTATGGAATTTAGATGTTAGATGAAAGTTGTTACTGCAATTAATTTTTGATTGTTTTATAACTTAACACGTAATATAAAATTGATCATAAAATTCGTAAGCGTTTAAACATAAATATTAAATTACTACAGCATTAACATCATAAATATACCGTAATAAAGATCTCTAGAAGCGTTCATTAAATAACATTTTCTCATATATCCAGTAAGTAAAGCGAAAACATTTTATATCTTGTTTTCATAGGGCCTAAATTATAACTATTATCATAAACATAACTACTTTAGTACCATATTAAAAAACGTATTCCCTTCAACGTATAGCCTGCCTATAAGCAATGCTCTTTATACAACAGACAGTCATAATCAAAATCATCCTATGAACAGGCATCCTATTACAGTTATATAATATTATTTCATAATCGTTTATTATAAATGACACTAGAGTCTGGCTAATGAAAGAAGATATCGAAAAGCGCGGCAAATTTAAAAAAAAATAGTATGGTATCCTTGTTTAGTCTTTTACTATTGATACTTAAAATTACTAGCATTGCATGGAAAACTAAAACTATATTTTTATAAAAATTTATTCGGAATAATCAAATCCTGCGAAAAAAACGAAATATTCTATCAAATAAAACAAAGTTTAGGCTATTATACCGGCTATTATTCGGAAAAAATATATAAGAGAAATAAAAATGAGTAATTGCATGAAGTATCAAGACAATAAATCAGACTAACCTAAGAAATTCAAATACATTCTGTGTTGCCATCCGAAAGTTTTCAAATAATTCAATTATCTTCTTTCATTAGCCAGACTCTACAGTCTAAATTTAAACATAATAATAGCTTCATATATAAGGTATGCTATTAACAAATTATGTTTTTGTAAGACAGACATATATCTGTGAATAATACATTATACATAGACAATACCATACAAATATGCGCACTAAGACCTAAGGGCTATGCGTGCATAGCCTAGAACACTCTCGAAATCCTGATTATCCTCTTAGCAACAATCATCTCGGACTTTCTACAAAGACCTAGTAAGCATAGTACTTTAAAAGTAGATTTACCTCATTGAGACAGGCTGCGAGGCAGGCCTCTTTTGTGGAAGTGTAGATTATAGTATTGTCCAAACCTCGGAGGGCTTTGCCCGGCACTCGCTCGAACGCCCATGGCCGCAAGCAAACACTCTCTGTCCGTACTTGCAACTTTACCATGTAGTAAGTGTTTACTGAACGCTGCAACACAAGTTTAATGAATACTTAACCTCAATACTTAAGTGTACAAATGTGTATAATACCGCTACTCTAGTTTCGATAATTTGAATATTTTATGAGGAATGCCCACTGAAGATGTAATTCATATATATATATTGGGTACTATTAAAGCGTTTTACATGAAATGGACAGGAAATTCTTCAAATTCGATTTTGATTTATGTAATTTTATATTTTAAACATATTATTGCGTAAATAGTAATTTAGTACAAACGATAATATTGATGAATTCATGTTATTTAAATTTTCGTATCGAGACATTCCGTGTTAGGTATTTTAAAATATCTAGTATATGAACATAGATGACAAAGAATCTTTCACAGCGCAATAATTCACAAACAAGTATTCCATTGACGTGTTGTAAATAATCCACCCACTCAGAAACATAATGGTTTTTTTTTATCTGAGAAATGAACTGTAGAATGATATTTTCTTTTTTAATACTGTGAAAGTGAAAATACTGCAGTTTTTAAAGTTTTGGTTCTAAGAGAACTGTTGTAATTTTATTGGTTTGAATGTTTTTATAAGATTTAAAAAATTAATACCTTAATATTCTGAGGTGGGTTTGAGACAAAATCTTAAACCAAGTGGCAAATGTCAGACTAAAAACCAAACCGGAAATGCATCGCTACTTGTTAGTCCTAGTGACGCTGATTGAATCTAAATTGTTAATTACATTTCGCGTTGCTTTAATTGGCGTACCTGATCCTAATCAATGGATTTATACGGTTTATCTAAGCCGGTGACAACTTTGCGTGCCCCGATAATATCCATCTTTTGATCTTCTATACATCATTACATTTGTGGTATATTACCTTCCCACGAAATTTAACGTTTTCTCAGCGGGTATAATATAAACAAAGTCAATTCCATTTATGTAATTTATATATAAAAGTTTTACAAATTAATCATGTCTGTGAGACTGTATGCCATTAATAAATGATATGTTTATTTATCCGAACTTAGTCCGTCTAGTATTTTTAATGGCATATGTAAACAGAAATATAAATTAATAATATATTTAAAAATGTCTAAATGTAAGTCATATTTAGAGTGTATTTATATTATATGCAGTTCTGATCATTACGGTAGGGACCGTGCGGACAAAATTTACAGATTGTAATCATAAAACGAATGGATACATAACACTTTTGAAATAAAATTTAATTTAAAAAATATTCTTGCTAGATTTAACACAAAAATTTATTATGAATATGTATAATTAATTAATCGAAAAACACTAGTCAAATAAGGCAATATTTTCCAAAACAAACCTGACCATATTTACCACCCTCGAAGCAAAATGTCTTTATACAAAATATTTAAAGCGCTAAATTTCTGTATGTTCGTGTAATGTACCAAAAACTGATTACTAAAAGATCCTGTTATAATCTTATCCATATCCACCAATTTCTTTACTAACAGAATCTAAGTCAAGCTAAAAAAGGAACTGACAACACACATCCCGAATGAACGCACTTGGCACGTGTAGTTGAGAACGCAATTATTCAATATTAAACTAGGCTCTTAATTCATATTTATTTTTTTAATTGGGATCATTATTACCTGTGGTGAAGCCATAGGGTTGTTTGCTTGTGTGTCGTTCTGTAGCAAACACCGGGTTTCTTGCACTGGAGTGAGAGGATTTAGCACGAAACTGTAACAATAAAATTAGATATATTAAATTACAGAGCTGTGAAATCCTATAAATAGTTAATAATCTGCGATTGTCTGCGTTCTTCTTGATGGAAGGAGAGAAACAGGATAATCCCCTTATTCATTAAAGCGAAATATGTCTTATTGCATCCTTTTAAACTTAATTATATGTATACAGTACTTTGTAAATCAAAGAAAACTTAATGTATAATATAGAAACTATAATTTCATGTCTTATTTCAGTAGCTGCAAGTTATTTAAAACTCATTTATTCAGCTATATGAAGCTTACGAACTACTTATCCTCTTCATAAATTCTAATAACAGAATCCTATTTCCCTAATGAGAGCTTTTCAGAGAGATTACTAGATGAGTCTTCCTACCCCGCTTTTTACTATTCTTTATTATAATAGCAATTTTCTTAAACCAATGTTCATATACAATCTCGCCAGCGCCTTCATAAACATTTTTTACTGTGTCAACGATAGTCTAATAAGGGATTGCATCTTAACGATAAATAGATCGCTCGTTACACTTCCAACTTGTGTATAACTAAGTATAACGGAGCTATTTACCGTTTTCAACATTTTACTGCTTTCTCAATAAATCTTAAAAGATAATCTCATATGTTTCCCAAATTTTGAACGCATTGAATAAATATTACTTCCGTTTTTAAAGTGCAAGTTAATGTGCTTTTAAGTGATTATACATAATTGTAAAGCTTTATATTTGTTTGATTATGTAAGAAAGACGTCGAAGAAGTTGATTTGAAATTTATGTTTTGGGTTACTAAGGAGTTGATAATGATATTTTATAGTGATATAACATTAAAGTATGCACTTGATTTGTATGAATAACAGATATACAGTGTAGAATTCTACTTCTAAACTATCTAATAGATATTAAAAAAATGAAATCAAAACACCAAGAACCACGATATCATTATTGTGTAATCAAGTCAAGTCAATTATCTTCTTAACTCGTTAATTCTTAGCGTCTTCATGACCTGGCCTAGTTATGTGAAAATAGCAGTGAAGGACGACGGTCACGTCGCACTAATGCCTGTCTTGGCTTTCTCTTAAATTATTCAATTATAGAAAGCTCGCGGAAGCTTATTATTTTGTGTCATTCGATTGATTACTTTCGTCGCACGTGATAAATATTATATACTCGAAAGGTTTTGTATCAAGGATATATTCTTTTTTCATTGTAATAGGTTCATCTAAAATAAGCCTTTGAATTAATCGTACTACGTACAGTTGGTTTTTTTATCACATATGATGCCATAAACTTAATTACCAGTTTCAGCTTTTGGTTTAAGCCATTAAATAAATCTTTATATCGAAGTTTACTGGTATTTTCTTTATTACAATGATTTTCTGCCTCTGATTCAATCGTAAACGCTGTCGTTATCGTACGTGATACCTCAATATAGCACTCTCTAAATACCTGAAGTGTTTCTATACCCCAGAGGTTTCCTTTCTGGGTCTGGTTTCCGGAGATATATATGTATATTAAAGTATTACAAATGCGTTATTTACAATAAAGCAATGATTAAATTTGAAATAAAATAGTTAGTCTTATTCTTAAAGTTACATTATTTTTCACGCTATTTCCGTGACATTTATTTACGTATATATACATATATGTATACTTTTACTATATCCCTAATGTAAATTAAGTATTCATTGCGGCCTTGGAGCATTTCTGCGTGACAGAATGCTGTCTTGAGGAGGACACCAATATCAACCGAAATGTATAAAAATGATCAAGTACATTGGCTTTAACTAATTTTTAAATTGGATTGACGTCATTTGAAGGTCCTTTTTGTAGGACCTTATTTCTGTAAAAGGAAATATCTCTTTATATTTACTGTTAGGATTTGGTACATTGGGTGAGAAATCTCATTATACATTACCAAAAACACGCTTGCATCAATCAAAACCATTAATAAGCGTCCAAAACAAGCTTAAAGCTGATGGAACAAATCTCACTTGTTACTCAATTTATTAAGCGCATGAACATTAATTATAAAATTCCAAATTCTTACTAGTAGCCGTAACATGGTTGTAATTTATCGTAACGTAGCGGTAAGCATTTAATGCGATATTATTCAAAGGGCTCATAAATATGTGAATAATGTAATACTGTAAAAATAATATTAAACTAGATTTCCGCACCTGTCATGGCATTACGTTCTTTTATAGTTTACCGGTTACAGATACGAAATTTAATAGATTATTAAAATTTAGAAAATATTCCACTCTTGCTCCAAGCCGCAAATAGCTATTTAATGTTTTGCCAATACATTATGCCATGCCATGCCAAACATTCTAATGCGTAAAAGACTGAATGTAAAAAATCCGTAGATCCGTTTCCAACACTCATAATAAAAAATAAAATATTTTTTTTATTATGACTTTAAATAACGTGTAAATAAGTAAACTATTAAACCTGCTTTTTAAAACTATGATTTTTTTAACTATAATTCTGCTTGTTGTTGCTCATAGCACGGCCGGCAGTTAGGTGTTTTTGGATCAAATTCCTAACGAAACCATCGTTTCGTCGAGATGGAAAGGCACAGAAGACCTATGAAGAAAACGCTTGTATATCACGTCACTATTTCTGTACAAATTCCATTAGCGAGTCACGAATACAATATTGTTATCTAGGAACTTTGCATTAATGTTCAAGTCAATACGCGATTTAACACGTTTGAACACTGAAAGGTGTTAAAACTGTTTTAACCACACAAATGACACCTACCTAAAAACTAGTTTATTACTTATCACTAAGTAATAGTTGACGCTAAAAAATTCATCCCATTATCATCGCAAATAAATCAAGTCTATTTACGAACAAATTACACGCAGGTGACTTAAAATGTAGCCTATCATTATAGGTGCCTTCAACAACATCAATCACTCATGACGGAGGTTTCAAATTGTAAAGTAGCTGATCAATGATCCTCTACACTCGGCGATTACGATTTATTTTGATCGACCAGTGAATTGATGATTTCAAAGTCTTTATAAATGATTACATATTTGTGAGAATTCGGTACTAATTCTTGAGCATTAACCTTTCATCCAAAGATTTAAGTAAATATAGTTACAAAAATCTTTGTTTCCATGCCATGTTTTAGTGGCGTTATTAAAATTTCATATACTATTTGTTTACCTCGAAATGTAATAATAGGGCGTGGATACATTGGATTTTATGGACCAACCTAATAAAATCTAAACTAATATTTTCTAAACTCAAACTGTCTTGTCATGTATATACTCGTATTACCAATGTGTGCAAAAGTAGCTAAGTTTCCATAGTGACCACATTCTCTTTGAGGGCTAAAGCTACAAATTCCTGAGTCAAATATCATTTAAGTCGCGCACTTTAGGAGTATTCATAAAACTTTTCTCGCAAGTTTAATTGTAAGACATTATGCAAAGCTTTGCACAGAATAATTCCATACAATTACATAAGGGAACTTATCTATGACAAAAGTATTGCATGTGAGGATACCGTATGATTTGCCAGTTGCCACCGAAGTACAGTTACCGATTGTCAATATCGCATTCTTTTCATCTATTTCTTTCGATAGATTGATTCGAGATACGTTATCTTAGCACAATGCTAAATTGTTAACTTGGGAATGTTCCATCTCATCTAATTGATTTGGTTGGAACCTACCGAATTGGTTTCTTTTATTCGCTTTAAGTTCAATAGGATCTAACTAGATACTGTTGTCAAATTGCAAATTAAATAATTATCTGGCTATAGAATATGATCATCACGATGTCTTTTTAAGTACATCACGCAAATTATACTAATAAATGACTTAATATGATTAAAGACAAATAACTTCGGTCCTCGATTTCGATTTACCGACGCATGAAACAAAATGAAAAAAATATCAATGAAATACAAGAAAGTGTCCGTTCCATGCATAATTGGACACTACGATATTTAAAAAAACAATCACTATATATACTATTATTAAACTAAAAAAAAATACTTTATCTTTAAACTATGTTATCGGGGTTGTTATTGTCAGACATTTATATTTTTTTTTTTTTTATAGAAGGAGGCTCATCTGGTGTTAAGTGATTTTGATACTATCAATGCCAAAGGGCTCGCGAGTGCGTTGACGGCCTTTTAAGAATTGGTGGCTTTTCTTGAAGGACCCTAAATCAAATTTCTTTCATCCACCCACAACAAATAAAGAGTTATTATCGTTCAGTTACCTTTATAAGTAGCCGTTAATTCTAAGGTGCTAAAGAAATGAGATCAGAATTAGGGCCGAGTATTGCCATATGAAATCCACACTTTCGAGAGATAATAATCGCATTGAAGACGTATACGATCACTTTTACTGTTATCCAATTTGGAGCGAACCGAGGTGGTTTCCGCTTTTACACGGTTTGTGGCAACACATTGTTATTGACCAAGACCGTAGCATCAGAATGTTCTGACACACATTCTCGACCTTAGAGCCCACATCCCAAATCAAACTTCAATCTAATTTGATCAAATAACTCTCTCTGAACTCTATAAGACTTGAGATGCCTTAGAATACAGCCTTAGATTCCCCGACGATTAGTGAATCTTCATGTCAATCGGATCTTATCTAGACATTTAGGTTAGAAGATTCGTGATCTGATGTTCTTCGATTTTATGATCATAAAATGAGAGTTGATTCCGACAAATTAGGTTTTCGCTCGCACGGAAGCTATCGCAATTTTAGCCTCTGGCAAGTCACGATACATCGTTAAATCAATGTAGGTTAAGGCGGATGCGCGAAATTTGTTTCTATAAAGTTTATAGGCTTCACTTAGATAGAGAATTCATTTTTATGCCTTTGGCTGTGTAAAATATAATGTTCTAAATAAATGAAATTTCAAGTTAACTTGCAATTTAATAAATATTATAGCTCGTCTATTCAACAGTCTGTGGAAAGATTCACATATTTGCAACAATTTTTTTTTAATAATCACAAAGTTCTGATACAAGTTTTCATCAAATTATTTTTATCAAATTTTTCATACGATAATTGAATTTTAATTACCTGAATGCAGCAGCTTGACAATCTGGTTCCTCTCTGCACCAACCCTGACATTCATATAGCGATAGATTCCGTACGGTATAGTACGCAGTCCCTTGGAAGTCGACATCGGTTAATTTTTCGAATGCGATTCGACCTGGAACAAAATTATTACCTATAATTTGCAAAAAAAGACAGCTAACATTTTTGTACACATACACATATTTGTATTTATTTTATTTTGTACACAAAGCAAAAACTACCGGATATTCGATGATTCTATATGTTACAAAATATATCTAAATAATATAATATACTTTTCATATTTTATTGGGAATTATTGAATGCTCTAGTTGCTAAAATGCAATACTTTTGAGAACCTTTAATTTTGATTTACAATAACGGAAATTCTAGCAAATGACTGCGGAAGCAAATTATGTACAGGTGCATTGAAGATCGGAAGAGTAGAGGGAATCACCTAAATAAACACTGTGCGATAGCGGTTGTTTGCGAGTTGCTAATGAGGCGATGAAAGCTAAGAAATTTGCACTATTACTAATGCTTACAGAGCACAAATATTAATAAACAACATTCGGAGCCAATATCATTTAACGAAAGTAAACCAGATAGATCACTAAAAAGTCAAAAGTATTTTTTGGCGTATTTTCCCCTTAAAACCTACCTTTTCTACCTGGCCTTTGGTTAATACGAGTACTATACAATAAATAAATAAGTTTTATTTGTTAATACGCGAATTATTATTAATACATATTACACTACATCATTAACATCCCTCGTCGATTCGAGTGTGTGGTAGATGAAGAGAGACGATAATGAATATAATGTAAATTAAAATAAATAATGGAAGGCTCACATTCATATCCGTTTATAAAAAATGTTTAATTTAAATGTTCTACTTGATTTCCTCTAAACCTGTTTTTTATCTGACTATCTATTGACACTACAACCACCTGACAAAACGTATAACCGAAGTTCCGATTTCCGGCGAAACAACAATAATTGTTTCGGATGGTAAGCACAGAAAACCCTCTGTATAAAATTAAATTACTCAAAAATATTCCTGCTTTATGCCGAACTTCATACATGAAGAAATATCATACTTAAACATTTCTTATTACACTTGTTGATACTTGTTGCCTTAATACTTAATATGTTGGGGCGTCAACAACTACCTTATTCAGAATACTGGCCCACTAATACGACAGTAGGATGATGACTTGCACATTTATTAAAACAAGTGCACGTATTCAAACAGACATGACAATGCTTTTACATACTTTCGACATGACTTAATAACCGCCTCTATTGGTTACTAGTTCATATAGTAAGTTTGCTAGGAGATATTGACTTCATATGTCGTTGGAGAGATAAATACATAGCGAAGCATATCTAGCATATTTCGTAATTAAATAATGTATGGTTCTCAACAAAATTTTGTTTTAATGCATTTAGTATTTCTCGCATGAATTAAGAAGGAAAGTACCTAAAAACTCTCACACTTTTAAATAATAGCGTTTATAGTAATGATTTGTTTGAAGCCATTTTAATTCATAACGTGTATAGTGTATCTATAGTGAAATTTATGTAAATAACCATCTCTGATACTTACATAAGACTAGTGTAGACTGCAATAGAAGTATGAGTATAGGCGTTAACCCCAGCGTTTTGCCCTTCATAATGTCCAGCACCTGTAACAAGATATAACGTACTTAGTAAAAAAATAATATTACAAATATAAGGATTTTATTTTAATTTTTACTAAAACCAATATTTTACATAGGCATCAAAACAATTATATCAGATAATTCTTGTTACGTAGTTTTTGTTTTTATCTGTAGAAATGTTAATTTAAGGTGATATGTTTGTCTTATCTGTAAAGTCCTAACTTTTGTTATAAAGAGTTGCCTAGTTAGTAATTGGTAATGTGGACTAACAACCATAAACTTTAACGTGAAATAATTGCCATTCTAATTTCAAAGTTATCGATCGCGTACACGAAACCGCAAGAAAGCCGGTGACACGAAATTTCATTTATTTTTTGCATTATCACTTTCACTGCTCTTTCATCGACCTGATGAATGATCAGTAAACGTGAAAGTTTCGATTGTTACTGAAACCATACGCATGCTTAATGAAACGAATGACTTTCGTTCGCATTTAACGCTCGGCTAAACATTTCAATTAAAAACCTATTGAAAACGTAATGTTCTGATGTCTGCATCACTATAAAACGAAAATTGCGCTACAACTTTACCGCTACGTCAATTTAGATAACTTTCACGAAACAAAAGTAATAAAAATCCCTTCCGACCCCGTTTCCGCTACAGTTTGTATTTAGCGCAGTGATTAAATTATTGGTATCACGTTTATTGAAATATATATCTGCAGAACATTAATATGTAACTTTAGTAACTTCACCTACAAGTACTTAAAAATGATACCTAACCGAGATGATTTGTCAGTGGAACTTTTGGTCTACATGCTAGCTTTTCTTCTAGTTTCTCAGAAATTAGATTTATAATCTTTGTATGTAAGATTAATAATGCTTCAATTATGTTTTTTTTTTATAAATGGACTTCCTTAACTGCTTCTCCTAAAAATCATTGCTTATGCTGCTCATCTCTGGTTGATTTCGATAAAATGAAGTCAGTTCTATAAGTTGTAGTTTTTAAAAAGAGTACCCAACGTGTATAATAAAAAAAGTCTTAAAATTGTTAAATAAACAAAATATATTCTGATTGTAATTCTATAATAAGAAATAAATTTTCCAAATTAAGTTTTTCAAATACAAAACAATAAAATAATGTATTTGGAAAATAACTCGGAATACAAAAACTCATGCTATTTAATAACAGAAAATTACCAATCAATCAACACTTCGAAACACAAACACAATTTTGTTTAAAATAAGGCCTTTTTGCAAGCTTTAACAAGCCGCTAATGATAGGACATAACATTTACACGTTGTAAGCAAAAACACGTAAATGAAAGGTCGCAATGAGTGCACAGCGTTACGAATTATTATAACTGAGATGTTAACGGTGAGTTAAACAGGGCGGCAAAGACACGCTTCTAGGCTCAATTAGTAATCACGTATGTCGCATAATGGTTGTAACTGTTATATCACAGTCACGGGTTGGGCACAGATTGGTATGTGACTAGGTATGTAGGTGAGTTCAGAATTTTGAACCGTTTCTCAAAGCAAGTTTAAGAATACATAATTCTTTAAAAATAAAAGCCATACATTTAAAGCCTTTGTGGATGCGCAAATAATAAGTTAGTTGAAATTAAAAAATGCATTGTCAAAACGCATTGGATTTGACCAGCAGTTAAAGTTTACATTAATTGTCTTTGATTTGCCTTAACAGATTATTTTGAATTTAAAAAAAAATGTTCCGAGTGTAGTATTGATTTAACAAATCGGCAACAGAAATATACTAAGACTAAGAGAATCTACGATTCCTAACAATTGTGACTGCTATCTTCGTCATTATAAAAGCAGCTTCGTTATATTGACTTATATTTTTCCTAATAATTTATAAAATCCTTTAAGTTCGCTTTGTTTATTCCCACAAGATTCATACTAACCACTGGCTTTGCAAATAATCAGTGAAGTTTGTAATTATTTACACCACAGATCTATGCATACAAATTACACACTTTATTTCCGTTTTTATCCGTATACGCTCATTATACCTTAATTGCTTATTATCGAAACAAATTCCCACATATACAAAAGTCAGATAAATCTGTATTATAGGCTGATTTGTATAAATAAACACTTTAAAGGGTAATGATCTTCAGTTTAAAAATATAATTGTTAATTCAATGTTGACTATTATACTAAGTTATTGTCTTAATTACAGAAATATTCTTATTTCTAGTATCATTAATGTTAGCGAAGCCTATTTTGAACTTCAATATGTAACCAACGAAAAATTAAATTAAATTTATTGAAAGAGAACAATTTCAAATTAACTAATATATTTATAACATGCTAAACAAATTATTTTACGGGTTAATATTCTAATTATACATGATCTTTATCTGGACCATTTTATTGAAGAACCTACAAAAACTAACACGATGCATGTATAGCAATCAATTATAAACGATGGTGCTAAACTTTACAATTTCTCTAATATATATGATTACTGACTATTAATTCCTTTTTGTAAAAAGAAAGTGACCTCATATTGACAAATCACTTCCCAATTAAGTGCCATGACCGTCAGAGTTGGTAGCCGCAGAACAATAGTTTTTGGCTCCCAATGATTTTCGACTTCACTTATTTGAGTATCTGTGCTACGGTATTTAAATTAGTTCTTAATCCGTTTAAGGAGCTTATATACAGTTTAGGATGTATTTTTCCTTGAAGGAACTTTGTTATATCAAAACTGAGTTTGTTGTATAATCTTTTTCACCTATTGACTATATTGATCTCTTTCTGGTGCAATTCTGTAACCTGATGTCGTGCTCTGAACGCTGTTTGTTTACCAATGTACTGAATAAATGCTTGCTCCTACGATAAAGTTATACGTAGTAAAGAACCAGCTTAAGACAGTCGGTTTTAAGTACCATATATAATAATCGATTAAACACATAGAAATAAGTAAGCCATAAAAGCTCGCATGTTGTTTTTAGTACTCTATTATAATTTTATCTCCTGATTTCTTTGTTTAATCTTCAGATTAGGCATATGTTTGATGTTGTACTAGTTTGCCAAATAACATGTAGATATACGAGTATAATTAGATACCTTCTACCTCTCTTTTACAATATATTTCGTTTTAATTATATTTTAGTAATAACCTAAAAACATTTCAGTTAAAATATACACAATGTAAAATACGTCTTTTTGTAGACCGTACTGATAGTACGTCCATGCTCCAAATACGTCCTTTTAAAACATTTACATAAACGTGATGCGATTTGAATCTGATAGAGCCGTTGTTCCAACCGTTATTCTTCAATGCCTTCGAATAGCCAGGTCAGGAGTCAAACGCCATGAAAGGAATCCCTACATACGTTAAATTTTGCTATCCTATTCACAAATGTTTACAGTTGTAATGAATATTCTAATGCCTTATTATGGGTAGATGCCACTAATGTCTAAACCCCCTTTCATAATAGGCGACATGAGGTCATCCTATTCAGATGCTTATCTGGGCAACATAAATAAAACATCAATTATATGGAAATCCAACGGAACTTGTTTCCATATAGGCTTAAATTAATGCATTTAACCTAGTTGCGGTTGTCTCTATGGTATTATATATCAGATAAATCAATTTTCTGATTAACTTGTTACGCCTCCCTTACCGCATTCTTTACTCGACGTTCGTTAAATTAACTGTGTAAAATGATAAATGGAAAGTATTTAAACCACCAAACTACAATATGCCTCGTAAAATTTATTAAAAACCGATTATTACATTACTACGATTTTGCAGATTTTAATTATATATCAAATCTATGCAAAAAAATTTAAAATTAATTTTATGGCAATAAAAGAAAAATTATTGTAAGTGAAATTTCGAGGAATTGTTTTTGGTTTGGCTTCAAATTTCTTTTAAAAAGTATGAAAATGTCGAAAAACCTCTTCACCCAAGACATATTGTTTTCAATGTTTATCAAAGAATACTTGGTCAACAAGATGCAGATCATACACAATCATCGATATTGAGCCACGTGCAAGCGTTGACTGGTTAGTAGGAATGACACGTCTTGATACTTTGGTTTATGGGATTTTTCGTGTGTATTATATTATGTACTTATACTAAACTTAGGTTTATTTCAGGGGTTTCTTATACTACAAATAAACTTGGAAAGTTTTGATTTAGAATTGATCAGAAACAAGATAAATGAGTTGTACACTGTTTCTTTCTCTCAAATAGGGATCGATGAATGGTGAAAATATTGTGAACATGTAATAAAAATTGAAAATCAATTCATAGAACAAGATCGGTTAATTGAGATGCAGGAGGAAAGGTTTATTATAAATACGGCGTTGAAGACTTTTTTATGGATGTGCAGTATTTGGAACCATTTTCAAGTTCTTAATTAATTAATAAACTCATGAACAGAGTAATTGGAGTTTTCATCTAAATTTCAAACCCACATTTTCAAAAATTATCCTTGTTCATTGGATACATTTTTATATTTTCATGTATCACACACATAATCAGCCGCTATAAGGAAAAAAAAGTATCAAAACGTTTTACTCCAATTTCCCCAGTATTGCTAGCGTCAATTTCTTTTTTCCCTTTTTGCCATCAGATCCTGGTAGACCTATAGTTTCTGTGTCAACTTCATAGACAGGTAAATCAATGTTGTGGTCTGTGTAACTTTTGTATGCTACTAGGACAACTATCGTTGTATAATCTATATGTCACAAGATGTCAAATAGCACGTCACATTGGGCCGAACTTGACCGCGGTTGCTATGGTAACGGTACCACAGGCGCGCGAGGCGAAACAATGCGTGTGAGTTGACAGGTTGCTCCCCTGACCTAATTATACCGCATGTAAGTCATTTTCGAAAAGCGTGAGAATTTTTTGTACCTTTCACGTTTATCTGTATATCCTGTTTTTTTCATGTTGGGTTAATTTGGCGAAAGTCAATACTTAATAACAGTATTACAGTTTGGCAAAATTTAAACAAAATTCACAAGTTA